CCATCCATCCATCTACTTAAACATCTACCCATCCATCCATCCACCCATCCATCCATCCATCCATCCATCCATCCATCCATCCATCCATCCAGGCAGGCAAACCTCATTGAGTTGTCCACTTAGTTGTCTTCTACTCACCTACCCAACCCCCCCCTCTCTATCCCGTGCATTCAGCCATCCACCAACCCATCCATTCACTCACTCATTGCCCACTCATCAACCCACTCACTCACCCACCCGCTCCTCTTATCCATCCAGTCACCAACGAGCACTGAAAAGAAAGAACGTTGTAAGGTGTTTTGAAGCCAGAGATAAACATGACACAGGCTCTGCCCTTGAGAAGCTCCGGCTGTGGCAGAGCCTTGAAGCAAGCCAACCACTGTGGGTCAGTGCAAACCCTGGGTGCCAAGGGAGCCAGAGCGGGAAGCTTCGCCCAGTTCTGGGGCCTGGGAAAAGGCCTCCAGAGGAGGTGTCAGTTCTGCAAGACACAGGAGAGCTTGCAGGCTTGGGGACTAGAGGTGGACTTGGAAAGAATGTGTCTTTCAGTGGATGACTCATCCCAACCCATAGCGACCCTATGCACAGCAGAACGGAACACTGCCCGGGCCCACGCCATCCTCACAATTGTGCCCATGCCCGAGCCCAGGGGGAAATGACCTTGATGAAAGAAATGGTGCCAGCGATCATACAACAGCGTTTTGTAAGAACCACCATGCGTTCGTGGGAAATACCTGTTCACAGCAACATAAACCGTGACTACACACGTGGGCCCCGCCGGGTGGAATGCACAGGAATCAGATCACCTACACCAGTGGAAAGAGATGATGGAGAAGCTCGCCGGCACCAGTCAGAGTCACAATTAGACCAGGGACCGACGGTGGACTAAGTCGTCAATCGCTCCTATGCAGATTCAAGTTCAAGCTGAAGAAAACAAAGGCAAAGGCAGACGAGCCGCAGTATGGCCCACGGGCGTCAGGAAGAGAGGCTCGCAAGACTAGATCTGATGCACCCAATTCACAATCAAAAGCTCGCAGATATAAAACAAAGCGAAAGTAGCTCACTGGCATCCCATGACACTTGCACGTGAATGACCGAGGACAAGATGAACCACGGGATGTGTGTTGTTTGAGCGACTCGGGTGGGCCAGGATTCTCCCTTGCTACGATGGACCAGAGTGTGGTCGGCTGCGTGATGGGCTTTTTCCAGGAAGAAGCCGAGTCGGGGTGGGGAGAGTAGGCCTCTGTCAGCTGGCCACGGTTTTGATGCCATCAGGAAGGTTTTACTCGGGGTGTGGCTATTCTGAACATAGAACGACTGCTCCTGCTGGATTTGGCTCCTACATCGCATCTGGTTCTTGGCCCTCCTGCCGATTCTAGGAGTCATCGGAAGACTTCCGACCTTGGATTCCTTCCACCAGCCTGTGGTCTTCCGGCTTCCTGTACTTGCTCCCGGTTTGCCAGCTGACATGAGTCATGAGCCTTCAGCTTACATCGGACAGACGGACTTGGATCGGACGGGACTCACCCACATCTACAAGTGCGTGAGCATTTCTAGATGGAAATCTTTTTCTATACACACACCCATACAAACACCGCTGGTTTTGCCTCTTGAGCGAACCCAGCCTAACACAGGATGACATCAGACAGGAAGAAGCAAAAAGGTCAGTAGAGAGATAGGAAAGTAACACTCAGAAACGGATGTCAGAGGGACTTTGAGACTCGTCTTGGACAGAGGGTGGCTAAAGTGGATGGAAGAAATGATGGCGCAAGAGAGAGAGGAGATTTCAAAGGCGAGGACAAGAAGTATTATGTGGAAATGTGCAAACACTTGCATTTAGAAAGCCGTAAGGGAGGAATATGTTCCAAGAAGCTGACCGACGAGAAGAGCTTGGTGCTGTGGGGGGAGGTCAGATGCTTACAGACATCCTCCCTGGTGACAATCACTGTGGACTGCTGTCCCCCCCCCCCCAGGGTAGGCCTGCTCCCTGCTGCTGGGGACAATGGACTACTTCTCCCTGAAGCTTGCAACCATTGCTTGGTTCCTGCAGGTGGGGTTTACACCCTACTGATAATGGTTCCTATGGAGATCCAGAGAACAGGTGCAGGTTAGGCTGCCATCTTAAATCTAGGATCCGCCCATCTTGTCACATGTAAACCCCCAATCCCTCCTCTTCCTATTGCGTGTATGTCCCTAGACCACCCCCTCTCATTGCTGTATAACCTATAGTGCAACCCCTTCCTGTGACGTATGTCTTCACCTGTAATTAGGGGGCTTGTACGCCCCCAAAAGGTATATAGGCCTGGGCTAGCAAGAGAGCTCTCTCTCCTCTCCCGTCCTCCCTCCCTTGTTCCCTTTCCTGTCCTCCTTCCCTTCCCCCTCCCCAGGAGCACCACGGTGAGCATGCTACCATGAGTTGTGCCTGACTCCATTCACTCAATCTCTCCTCTCTCTCTCATGCTCTCTATGACTTTACTATAATCTTTACTTATTATCGCTGTACCATTGCGCCTACTGGACCTGTGAGGATTTGTGGGGGACCCCCCTCGCCCCACAGTGCTGGGATCATAGAAGAGTCATCAACAACCTAGGACACGCAGGCAACGCAACCTGGCTTGCTGAAGGTATAGAGGACTTGAGGCACCTACTGCTCCAGAGTGAAGACAACAGCTATTTCAGTGTGGATTAGAGTTCCACAAAGAGAAGACCCAAACGCTCACACTGGATCCATCAGCAGCATCGGGACAAGAGGAGAAAAGAGTGCAGGGTGAGGGATCTCATCGTGCTTGGGTCTGCAGCCAACATCCGGGAGCAGCAGTCAAGATGGACAAACTTGAAGCAAAAAAGACCCATTTCAAGTGCTAACGAGCAGAGCTGTCACTTGAGAACTCAGGAGCCTCTCACCTTGGTGATTTCCAGCTCCTTGTCCGCATTTGAAACCCGGACAATGAAGCAGGAAGACCAAAGCCCCCATGCCTTAGAATTATGGGGAAGAATCCTGAATTGGCCCGTGGATTCCACAAGAATGACCAAATTCTGTGTTGGGAGAACGACGCCCAGAATTGCTCCTTAGAAGTGGAGAGAAGATTTCTTTTCAAGCACTTTGAACGTGCCAATCAGGAGGGGCCAGTCTTTGAAGGAGGACATGATGCTTGGTAGACAGTCGGCAAAAAAAAAAAAAATAGAAAGAGAAGAAGACCCCCCACAAGGTGGAGGGCACAGGGGTGGCAACAATGGTTTCAGACACCGAAGCGATGGTGGGGCTGGTGCCAGGATTGGCAGTGTGGTCCATGGAGTCACCAGGAGGCAGAATCGACCAGACAGCACTGAGTCTAGAGTCCCCACCTTCCTCATGCTGCGACCCTTTCATACAGTTCCTCGTGTAGTGGTGACCCCCCCCCTCCCGCAACCACAACATTATTTTTGTCGCTACTTCATCACTGTCATTTTGCTTCTGTTATGAATCGGGCGACCCCTGTGAAAGGGTCATTCGACCCCCAAAGGGGTCGCGACTCACAGGTTGAGAACCGCTGGTCTAGACCAAGGGCCAGACATGCTTCTTGAGGAAAGAGAGGAAAAGAGGAAAGAGATTCTCGTCTCCCCCAGGATCTCTCCCCAGTGCCTGTCCTTGGCCTTGACCCTTGACCCCTGAGGAGCTGGTGGACTCTTTAGGTGGCGATGGGTCCTAGGTGTGTG